GACTATAGCAACCGTGAACAATAAAAAGCTCTTCAAAAATAATAAGATACTTAAAAAAATACGCCAATAAGTACACTTAAATTGAAATGAAATTAAAATAAAATCGTCGTTCAACTCGATTTCTCGCATTAATTGCAACAGGTACTGTATTATATTCTAATGGCCAAGTTCGCCATTAATCATAGTACGATCGGATGAAGCGCTATAACAATTTCAGATCTAAGCGTGAGAAAGTACTTAAAACTATCCTCCCAATTCAACGAAAAGACTTTCGTACATGGTCAGTTTCATTAAACGATCTACAGGAATGATATATGTATTCGAAAATATATATTCGTGAGCAATTCAACCATCCAACGTCAGTTTCCACAGAGGAACAAAAATTGTATCACGTCGCAATTGAAAAAAGATCTTTGGGAAACGTTATCATCGTCTCTTCTTTCAAAAACTCTCACCTATGAATAGGAAACTGGCTCGCGTGTTACGTTTCTGTTCACAGACGTATTAGGCTTATTCCGTTAGGATTAGGAGTGCGAAACCATCGGATCTCTTTCAATCGGAGAACTCGAAGCGGGTAAGATGCGTGCCATTATTATCATAGCACCTATTCAAGATTCATTACGATAATCTGTTACGTTATTTACTTTGAATTTATAAATCCCTAATTGTTACTGTAGTTTTTCCTGTATTTCCTATCCACTATGCTTAGAAAATACAGTGCGAAAAAGTGTAACTACAAGTGTCTTTTACTTTGAAAAAGAACCTGTAACTCTCGCAGGTAGCGACTGTACAATTACGACTGCGTATAGGAAACGCGAAACACAGTTTGTGTTCACTTGATTATTGACATAGAAAGTCTGTTTTTCTGAATCATCGAGTACTCACTGAATTACAGCAAGAGTTGCGTTGATCCGATTCACTAGATATATTGACTTAGTTCACGTGCATGTGCCCATTTCCGGAAGTATTCACGTCTTCAATCAACTTTTCGTTATTCTCGCTATTGTTCTGTTTGGATAGCACACACTCGAGGGATGGTTTCACTCGAGTCAGCCGGAACTTCGTTAAGAAGAAATCGGATCCGTAGCAGAACAGCTTGCATAATAACGGACATAATATTCCCTGATGAACGAATGTCCAGACACGATAATTTTGACCTCCAAAAGGGTCTAGGACAGCTGCACACAGCATATGACTGAGATTTACTTGTATCGGCTAAAATGAGAAACACCCAAATATTTATAATAAAATGAAACATGAATAAATGTATATATGAAAAAATTCATACCAAGGCAATAGCTTGAATTATCCAAAAGTGATAAGCTAAATTTATTCCATAGCTGAATATACACCAGCTCATATCTGACAGAGGTTCAACATTGTACACGCCTAAACATAAAAATTCAAATAGGATTACATTCTGAATTTTCTCATGAATTTCTTAAGATTTCATTCACAATAAACCAAAAATAAAATGTTACAGTAAATGAAATGCAACTACCTCCGATCCTTAATAAGTAATACGGTATGACTACCATCAAACCATGCTGAATCCAGTACATTGCTTTGTCTGCAAATATCTAGAAAAATTATGCCAGTCAGTTTGAGTCATTAAAGAGTATAATTGGTAATAAAGAGATGGAAATTTACTCTGCGAGATTCTGTCTCTGGAAATAAGTATGCTAAAACTGGTCCATTCAAAAAGTTTAAGTGTATCCTGAATATGGCTGTGACTGTAGGACTAGGATCTGCTGCCAGCAGATATAACTGCATTACAGAAAAAGCAATGATTATACACAAATAAAATACATTATTCTCGTTCATGTGGCAGAAAAGATTAATTTATTTTACCTGCATTGCTGTTGTTATATGGCAAGGATTTAATATGTACACGACTGTCCTGCTGGTGAATTTAAAACCAATCTCTATTCCTAATACTAATGACATGATGATTAGTAGAACTCTTCTGCCAACGCGGTCATTATTCGCGTATGACACTTTGGTTGGTAATTTAATTCGTTTGTAGCCCCAAACTAGGCTTCCTATTATGAATATAGATATAAGCGCTGTTTCGATGATCCTTCGCTTTGGGCTCAAGTAGTTGGCACATTCCGGGCCCACGTTACGTGGTATCGAGGCGTTAACGCCATCATATGCCCATTCAAACATTGTTTCGAATGTTTTTTATTATAGCTGGAAAGTGAAACGACAATTAAAATTAACACCCCGAGTAGAAATTTTGATTTCGGCTATCCGCAATGACGAATCCTGCGTGTGACACTTGAAATTTTGTTCGACGATGACAGTAGTTTTTGATACAGGACGGATATTAAGAATCGATGTTTTACGTAAGACTTATCATCAATATTAAGCAGTAATTTCTCGCATTTTATTTTCACATTAGAGGATGTAATTATCGATTCACCAAATCAGAGATTAAATGGAGTTTGCTAAGATTTAACGTACCTAATTTCTCCGTTTCTATGTTGTATTATTCGCGGGGTAAACGTCGAGCACTTCGAACTGATATGCTCCGTACAATAAACAGCATTAATTACAACTGTCTTCTTACCGGGTACTTGTTTTATCAGCGCGGTTTTTTTCAGTCCATTGCGGATCGGATGTACAATTATTCTTTATCTGAGAACGCATGACCATTAGTAAGATAAAACATAGATAGAGATGGAAGCACAAGGTAGACTTGCTGTTTCCTGAATATATCTGAAATGCCGATCGTCATAGGAACTATGCAGTATGCACTTTGCATCTGCAGATGGCACTCGGATGCTCTTGGAGAGTAGAAGATTAGTAAAGACCTTCTAGTCAGTTTAGAACGCTTGACTGGAGGGGTTGAAAGTTGAAAGTTGGAGGGAGCCTAGTCGTAACCGGAATTAATTCAAATGCAGGTAATTTCGTTTCTATTTCCCTTTATCATTCGGAGATTTGTATAGAATTGTACATCTACTATTCAATTTCATTGCTTAAGCGTAAGTAGATTATCCATTAAGTAATATGTATGCGTCGTACAGGTAGGAGCTTCGAAACGCGCGAAAACGATTTTCGTCATTTTTCATTAGCTACACAGCATGCGACGTATCAATCAATTAATGAAAATACTACCGTCCCGAGTAATAATGCTATTCAACACTTGTGCGGTGATTACGGTGACTGGCAAATCATTTTTGATAGATGTGATACCTTATGGTTGTCGCGTGGTTATCTGGAAAGGAACGTAAGTGTTCATCAAAGGGGTGGGAGATCAACCGGACGATAAATCGTGCGCTCACAGTTCTTGTTAATTAAATTCATGAGTCAGTGAAAAAAATATCTGACTATAACTTGCATAAATTATATTGATATCATCTAGAGGGTTAATCGATTTGGTACTTAATTAAAACTGCAAGTGCAACCTGTGCCATTAGAAATCTTTTAGAATAATTATCTTTATTATAAGAAAAAGTTATTGTATCTGCTGTGTTACTATGTCTAAGGGACATTGTTTAGATTGTCAGTCTTACAAAACGTTAATTCAATATATTCGTTAACTCCTATAATACCTCGTGGATTTTTGGACTCCGACATTTCATAATCGTACATCCAAATGAATTGGTCAAGAGTTCGTAGTATAAAAATGTAGGGAGAATGACAAACGACGGGATTCTACAAATCGTACATTAAAAAAATGATGACTCGAAGAAATGAGCGAACTGGTGAAAGGATGCCAATCGGAGAGGAGATTCGAAGAGAGTTCGTGGAAACGTATGAGGCGAATCGGGTGCAGTTTGGACGCCGGCTACGAATGGTGGGTTCCCGTCGGAACTGGGACTGGTCTGCGGGGAAAAAAGGCAGCCAGAAACCAGCGGGGAAAAAAAAATCGAGAAAACGGAGGAATGCACGCGACCAGCATGGCGCCGCATTGTGTGCGCACTCGATAGACACGGAACGGGAGGCACGAAACTGGAATGGAAGTCGCTGGAGAATGGGGATAATTGCGTTTGAAATGCAGCAAGGCTCCTCCCCTTATTCAAACCTAAAGCCTCTTGCAAACTGCAAGTGCCAAGCTGCTCACTTTACTCCGCGCACACATAACACGTTCGACCACTGGCGACGACGCGCGAATACACCGATAGAATGATATCACGTCGGTGCTCCGCCTTGCATCGTGATACAATCTGGTACCATCTCCGATTCGAGATGACCGATCAAGAAATCCAACCGATCAATCGTCTTTTACGTTGACACACGATCACTCATATGTGTCGCAACTACGAAAATCGAATTGGGACACTTATCTATAAATATATAAAAATATGTAATAAATGAGTACCGTCGAAAAACGGACGACGATGGAAGAGAACGATGATCGCTTGCTGGTACCGGAACCAGTGGCATCGGTGTGGCCGATCGTTAGTCAGATTTCCCGTTACGAGGCCGTATTTCAGCGGGATGACGGGTAATAAACGGCAACCGAGTAGGAAACGGTGTCTCGTTAGTTATATTTACGGATTCCGTGAGTGCAATTTCCGTGCAGCGGACAACCGTAGCGAGAGGACAGTCGCGGACAGGATACGTGACAGTCGAATGTGATAATATTTCTTTCTCTACTTTTTTTTCCCTATTTCGTTACAACGTTTGTATTCGTGGGAATACGCAGTTGTTACGTTATCGATATGCTCCCTCTTCCTCTGTCTCGAAAGTAGAATTAACCGAGTACCGAGCGTTTATCGATAGTGAGGGATCACCGTAGCGAGCGCCGCGTGCATTATTAACCGTTGTTAACTTTATACACTTGTGACATACCTACGTGCACCGGTCATTATCACGATTTAAGCACGTCCCCCGCTATCGCCCAGCATTAACGTTGGTACAACGGCTCACGTGAAATCGTTTCGCTGAAACCGCGGGTTTAGACAGTGGCTAATCTTGATCCCTGGGAATACGCCTGTTCTCTTTCTGCCCTTTTTTCCCGTTTTAAACTCATTATTTTTTCTGTAGAGATCACTCGGCGAGATAACTGAAACAGAAAGAAAGAAAAAGTCGCATGAACTTTGACGGATCACGCGCGTCGATCCGAGGAAAATCCGTTTTTTTCAAGGTTCGCCTTTAGGTAAGCCAGTTTTGCGATGTCCTAGCTTTTCGATACTTCGAAATTCTTACTGTAACCGAAATGCATCAAATATTATAAACAAGTATCTATGGTAAAAAGAGAAACTGGGCTCGAAATCGGTTTAGCAAAAGGGTTGCTCGGTGGTTGGCGATGATGGGGCTCGCGTGTGGACTAACGTCCGTTCCGAAAGAGAGGCCAAGAGAGCGTATAGGTCCGAGTAATTTTCAAATAATTGGTTGTCCAAGCCGGATCTAGGAAGGCCGATCCCTTCGATGAACAAGAACTTACTCCTTCTGGCTAGCGTGATATCTTCCACGGCTACCGGCATCCCCGAGGAACAATTTTCGATGGCGGCCGATCATTTCGAACCGTCTACCCTCCCCTCGGTCCACGATCGATCTTTTATTCATTACAAAATCGGTTATACGAAAAAATTCGCAAGCGAAAATTCTTCTGACGTGTAGAAAATGAAAGATGCTGGGAAATATTCAAATAGTAATCTTCTCTTCAGTAATTTTGTTCGACAATGAGATTACGAAGTTGTTTAAGGGGCTAGTCACCTGACTTTTCTGGCATTTGTCAGTAAATTTCTGATATTTGTTGCTCGGTTTTATTGATAACCAGACAAAAATAGTGGAAAACATTTATATCATTCGATTCTACATCTTTATTTCTCAGAGAAAAGAATTCGTTTTAATGTTTAGTTTAAGCGACATTGCAAATCACTCTGTTCTTTATTTTATTCAAAACAATCTCTGGTATAAACTAACTTAAAATCCCAAGCATATTTTGCTTCACTCTGTAATACTTATTTTATTAAATATCGGCATAATCTCACCGAGTAGTAACTTAGATCGCTCAAGAATGAACCCTACATTAAACAATAAAACGAATTCTGTCTGATTCTCTCAGAAATTCATTTCAAATTCATATTGTTAGCTACTTTAGTGGGTACCATAGACATTCTGTCGCTGTTCGCGTTGCTATCGGAGATCGTGATCCTCAAGATCGTTTTGTCTAAAGTTCATGTAAGAACGCCTTGACTTACTTCTTCACGAACCACCGAAAAGAGGCTGTTTCCTTGGTCTATTATAAAAAGATTGATTTAGACTCGTAGTTGGACATCCTCGGTTAGCCAGGGACTATGTATAACAATCGCAAGTTACTGAATTGTTTGAGAACTAGGGCAGCGTGACATCCGTGACACTATTCATTAAACGTTGCAACGTTTTCCAGGCTATTAAAAGAACTCGTTGATAATTAGTGGATTAATCATGATTATTAACCCGTGTGCATGTAGGTACATCTTGTGTAACATTTTCGTTTTCTTCTTTCCTTCTCGTACATATCCACGCTTCAAGCAGACAATGAACCGGGAACTTTCTCGTTGCAACGTTGCAAACGGAAGAATCATATTTTCATGCTGCATAACAACAGCGTATGAAATATGAAATTCTACATAGCCTTTGGCCGTGTAGACGATGATTAATGGTGTCGCGAAAGGAAGGATGCATATGAAGTTGCAATTTTATTTTGTCAAATATGAAAATGTAGAATTACGTAATTTTATAGTTATTACAAGGGATCGTGTATAAGAACTCTACTACAAAGTTAAGATTAAAAACGTGCTCTTTACATTTTCCTACCTAGTACATGTGATTTACTTTGATCGATAGCTGAAGCTTGATTCATTTTTACAAACTGTGAAATTCACGGCTAAATCTATACTAAATTAAACTTATAGTAGTAGTAATCGCTCATTCTATGGCTTTCGGGTTTGAAAGGGATGGTAGATTTGGTGATAATTATGAATGGGATCAAGTACCTCGCAAACGGGTTCGAACTTTATTTGAATGCATTCTGTACGTAATAATTTTCTCTGTACAATATTATAATATTTGGTACAGATTATTGTCATGCGTTTAGGTGACAGCTTCTAAATCTTCCAATCCGAACGAAACTTAAAAGTTAGAAATTGAATTCTCGACAAATATAAGCGAACGGCATCGCGATTAATTTTCCGTTCGCGAACGAACCGCGGCCGGAACTAGATAATCGTGAAAATGAGAGGCGTGATCAGTTGTACCGGGAATCAGCATGGAATGAGAATCGTCCCGCGAGATGGCCTTGAGACCGCTTAGGTCCTTTCATCTCGGCCTGTAACTCGGCGTTACTCGAGAGCTCAATTTACTCATTATCGCACCTCCGCTCAGAAATTCCTTCGGTTCTCCACCGCGTCTCGCCGCCGCCGCCCCGCAGCCATCCGGCCTCGCGGCGGCCATCGCGGTTTCTCTTCCATTGGGATGAACACTGACGTTGCCGCCGTTTTCTGCAAATACATTCTCAGTAGCGTGATCTACCAGTCAGAACATAGGGGATGCATGAGAGCCGATCATCTTCTCCGCGGTGCAATTATGCTCCGCTTCGGGCCCTTCTTAATATCCGTCGATCGGTTATTAAGCTCGTGCTTCTCTTGTTTCACGGTCAAATCAATAGCCGAAGCTTCTGGTATCGACGTACCATGAACGTAAGTTGAGTGACAGTCAAGTATGGAATGTCGAAACTT